GAGGGCGCTTCCTGCCCTGGCGGGGCCGCGCTCCCCCCGACCCTTCGCCTGCCCGGTGAAACTCCGTGTCCTTCTCGGAGCGAGGCGCCTGAAAAGTGTTGACGCTGTGGTGAAAAAACAGCGGAACCGCGAGTCGTGCGGCTGCGAGCATAAGGTGCTATTTTTTTTTTGTCTGTGAAATTTGCCTATTTTGAGGGGAATGTAACTGGTCTACTAGAGATACGTATGGCTTATAAGCTGTTTTCTGGAAGTAGCTCGAGAAAGGACAGCCGCATGTTTTACCTCTCGCCTCATTCGAAATACTTATGTTCATAGGCACCGATGTTTATAAATGGCAAAACTGCTCATCACGGCAAGAAAGCGATGGGTGAGTCTGCTGAGCAGCACGTCCTGGCATCGGCTTTGTCCCTAAGGGAAATAGCTGTAACTCGAGTTTTGACGTGAAGCGTCAGTACAATGGTTGTTGATAACCAAAACGACCTTTTATATCCTTAACCAGAGATCAAGGATTGTCTTTTGGCTGAATTGATGCAAATGATTCCAGAAACATCATTAAGTTCTAGTTCAGGCTAAGGGTTACTGAAAGGATTGATGCTTGTTTGAGAAACATTATATCTGAAGCTTCCCTGTGTCTAACAGCTTAAGGTCAGATGAGGTTAATACAGTTGGCAAAGTGGCTCTAAAACCAGACCCACAACACAGGAATCTGCTTCAGAACTGAGACTGCAAATTCCTCTTTCTCTCCTGAAATAAGGAGAACTTAAGTATTCAGATCTCCAGTTCTGATACTCTTATATTGAATTATTTTAGGGTTGCCTGCCTGAAAGAAGGCAAGTATTTAAAGACAGCAGTGTAATCGGTGCTGAGATGCTGCAGATTAATTGCTTTGTGTGCAGTCATCAGCATGCAGAATGGAATCGGTTCTTTAGCTCAGAAGGCAGTGCTCTGGCTTTTAGCCTCTAATCTAAATACTGTTGACAAATCCCAGTGGGTAAAAGGAATCCCGGCGTTGTTAAATGTCTTTTGTATCAGCTCAGTTTCTTAAATAATACTTTCCCAAGAATTTTAGTGCCACCAGTTTTGTTGAAAACAACAGTGAAAGTGAAGTGTTGTGTGCCTGAGTCCCAAATTCTTGCTTTTGAATACAAATCGGTTGTGTGTTGTTTGGTGTGTCTGAGTTTTGCCCTGCATAGGAGCCGACATAGAGGAAGTGTCTTAAGTGCTGAATGAAAACTGGTGTGTAGAAACTTCTGGCTGAAGAAGCTGGTTCAGTTTCATACGTTGTGTTCTGTAGAAAGTGAGTAGCATCTTTTTACCTAGAGGCAAGTTTTCATTAGGTGCAGCAATGAAATAATTTTTCAGCTAGAGCTTTGTTCTGTTTCCATTAAATGAAAAAAAGCTGAGCTTTAACCGTAGTAATTAGGCATGTGCCCAGAGTGAGAGAAGGATCTATCCATAGTATGCTAAAGCCCTTTAGTTTACAAAAGTTATCATCGGCAAAATGTTTGCTATATTCAAAGAGTAAGGTGGCTTTTAAGTTTCATCGTTTTGGTTAGTGGATGCAGGGTAGTTTCAGAGCAGTAAAGAGATGGAACTGCAATTTCAGGTGAGGCATGATACGACATTGCATTGCCAAAAACCCCATGAGAGCAATTATAGAAAAGTACAAACATTGGTTTCATACACTTACAGTGTTTTTAGTGGCTGGTCTTCACCAAAGAGGGCTAGAGGTGTTTAAGTGAGAGCTTAGGGTCAAGGCATGGCACATAGATAAGGCAGAATTGAACTTTTTAGTACTTGCAGACCTGATTTTCTGAAAATGTATGTTAGATAAAATTGGAAGTGGTGTCCTAGCAAACAAGTGGCATGCTAGTTTTTGTTCTTAAAGTCCACTTATTAATGGGTGATGTCAAATAAAGAAATCCCAGTATTAACAAGTGATACAATTCTTAGATGATGGCAGGAAAGGAATTTAAATTCTTGAATTTCTGTTAGGAAATTAAACCTTATTCTGTACAGACTCAAACTGTAAAGGTATGTTTGTGCCTTATTTCAAGCTCTGTTAATGTTCAAGCTTACTTTTCCTTTTAGTTTTGGTATTTTTTTGAAGTCATAGATCATGCTTATATATGTATGTTTTACTACTTTCATGAATTAATTCAATATTTGGATGAAAGTGTGATAATGTGGAGATTGTTCCAAAAGAGAATACATACAGATTTCTGAAATAGAAACACGTATTTAAAATTTTCACCCTAATGTGGCAAGTGCCAAGTTTTCTTTTGTAGGATAACTTTTGTCTTCATGATTCATTGGAAGACTTGTTTTTATAGTTGAGAGGAGTGAAAAACTTCTCTATAGGTAGGTGTGGTAAAATATATGATGATATTAGGAAGTAGAGTCCTGCAAATTCAGTGCTGCTAGAGTAGTCTGGCTGAAATAAATTAGTCTGTATACATGAGAAGTGGCTTGATGGAGAGTTGTAGGACAAAGATTCTCTTTTTATGAAAATAAATATTATTGTGCAGAAGTGTTACTGAACAGAAGAATACTGCATATTTTTCAACCTGTGACTTTAATGCTACACAGTCAAAAAATGCACACGTGTTGACTTCAGTTGCATAAATAGGTAAGAGTACTGCTTCTTTGGACATAATCATGTTTTAATTTTTTTTGTTCATTTGGTTAGGTTTTTTTAGCTTATTAGTGATTGTAAATAATTTAAGTATTTTAAAAACAAAGTGGGAGTGACTTTCTATTTTTTCTCTTTGCATTATTTTGTTTTACAGTAAAACAGTGTTAAGTGTATTGTTTGTGTAATGTAGCAGGATTTTGGCATTTGTCAGACTGTAAAAGAAATAACAAAACTGGTTGAAAGTTAAGGATTTCAAATACAGGAATGTTCTTGCTCCATCACCCCATCCTCCAACCCCCAGTGTAATGGGGCTTGTAAGAATGTGGGTGAATGTAGTAAGATGACATACAAGCAGTTAGTTACTCTGTTGAGAGGCAATCTCTTGAGAGATTGTACTGATTCAAACAGACACAGGGGGCTGCTAAATAGTGAGAAATGTGATTTTTGTATCAGCAGCTTTAGCTTTCTTTAAATGTTTCTTGTGCCTCCAGCATATCTAGAGGTAACTGTTTTGCTTTTAAGTACTTAGTATGCCTTCTGAAAAAGGAAAAGTTGCAGCATGTTCTTTGACATCTGCATTTCTAAAGTGTACACATAATTTGCTAACCAAATTAACAGTCTGCCATACAGCTGTTCAGGTTGTCAGCATCTTCCTTGTGCAGGTTAACTTCAGTACAAAACTCTGTACAGTTTTCCAGTTGTCCTCTAGATAGTCTGTACTCCAGTTGCTTTCCATATAACTAAAATAAATCAAACATATCTGGCAAGCAGTGAAAGGGAAAAGGGCCAGTGTATGCCTTTACCAGGAAGGCCACCACCTACAGTAAGCTGCTGTGATTAAGGGGTTCTTTCAGGAAATAACTCCTTGTTTTTACCCTTCTCCTTCTGCTTTAAATTTCTCCTGCCTTAGCTGTCATGAGTTGGTAATGTAAAACTTCTGAGAGTGATTTTCAGAGTACTTTTGTTCTGAAAGCTGTGTGTGACAGTGATTAATTCCCCCTCCATCCCCCTCTCTGGTCTAGGTTAACAGCATGGAGGCAAGTGAACAGCCCTTTTAACACACAGGTTGTGTTTGAAAAGCTGATTACATTGAAGATTGACAAATTTTATTTATGGTGTCATTGTTAAAGCTTTCCTTTTGGCTTTTATTAATAGCTGTCAAATATTGGTTTTCTAGACCTTCACCATTCATCCATGTGTCACCAGGTAGCAGTGTTTGACATAAGAAAGGTCTTATATCCCTTGCTCAGAAAGAGAATTCAACCCCTTAGCATATTGGCTTATGCGTTTTTAAATAATGCTGTATAAATATATTTTAATTATTGCTGGGGATCAGCAGTGACAGGTCCATGATTGCAGCACTTCAGTGTTGTCAAGCTTCCTGAAAATCACATGTAGTTTGATTCCAAGCCCTAAGCTGTGTTTCGGCTGCCTGTGCCCCTGGGATCTCCTGATTCCAGCCCTGCGTATGGTTTGTGGGGTGAGAGCCATTTTTGGTACCTATTTTGGTAACTTCTTTCAGTGGTTTTAAATAGTAGGAAAAGGATTCCCTGCAGCCAGTCATGCTTGTCCTTAGTCCATTCTTGCTGGTGAACTAGTGGTAGAAGTTACTTAGAGTCTTTTTAAATTAAGGAGTGAAGAATTTGAAAGAATTCAGTATGTCTGTGTATTCTGTTTTTCCTACTGTAATACTGAAAATGTACTCCAGCAGTGTTTTGTCTGATCCTGTTAGGTGGTGATCAGCTGCCTGGCCTCCTGAAAGTATTTCTACAGTGTGATATATTATTAGGGTTACCTCTTGAAGTAGAAATTAGCTTAGGTGGGTCAGGAGCAAGAAAGTTGAGGTGATTGCACCTGCTCAGAGAAGGGAAGATTGAGTGTTGTTACTTGGCTTCTCTTGTTCAGTTTTGTGCAAATGCTGAAAATTACTGAGCTAGTAAAAGAAATCTGTTGTACAGCTTCTTTTCCTGTAACAGGATTCAAAGAAAACATGCAGGTGAAAAAAACTGATATCATAAAAATGAAATAGCAATGATGTGATATTGCTGTGCTTGTAAATTGTGAGACTCCATGGGAAAACTTTGCTCTTTTAAAACATGGCTTGCTAGAAGTGAAAGTCCTTTTGTGTTCTAGTACTTTGTTGAAAATTAATGGCTCTTGCCGGGCTCTGACTACTTGGTAACTGTCTCTAGTTTGGTTATGCTGTGAATTATTACCTGTCCTCTAGTCCTTGTTAGACTGGTAGTGAAGTCAGTAACTTCTCTGATAATGGTAATAAAAGCAAACTGAAGGAAACTTAAAACAGAAAGGGGTTTTTGTTTTTTATATTTACCACTGTCTTGTTTAAGTACCCATGCATAATAAAAATACATGAGCCAGTGAACAGGCTGGTGTGTCATAGGTTTGTGTTTGTGGAAAAAAAAAAGGAAAAACAAATCCTGTGAACTTGATGAAGCTCTTTGGAACATACAGCTGGTCCGATAGCTCTCAATTACTAAAACAAGGAGGTGTCCTGAGAT